CTTCGAAGGAGAGACAAAAGCGTCGTACACGACTACTGCTGAAAGGTATAAATGCTCAACTTGCTGCTTATTTTGGTACAAGTAGCGTTTACACACCCATGTCGTGAGTTTGGTTAGGGTTAGGGTTTTTAAACCTGGGGTTGTCAAATAGGAATGGGCCCTTATTTTTTTTGCAGGCACTCAGGCACTTCGTATTTTTGGTTTTTCGTATTTATCTCCTACTTCGTATTTTCGATGCCTGTTATTTTTTTCGCAGGCACTGGGCCCATTCCTATTTGACAACCCCAGGTTTAAAAACCCTAACCCTAACCAAACTCACGACATGGGTGTGTAAATGCTACTTGTACCAAAATAAGCAGCAAGTTGAGCATTTATACGTTTCAGCAGTAGTCGTGTACGACGCTTTTGTCTCTCCTTCGAAGCTAAATTTGTTTTAATAGAACTAACAAAAATAGTCGACAATACAGCTAGAAAAATAGCGGTCAAAATGCAAATTCAACATTCCGTCGATGGATGAGCACAAACTGCATGCAGTGCCCCTTCCCACACTCAGGATAATACAGTATACAGATAATACAGGATACAGATAATACAGAATACAGATAATACAGGATAATCAGTAGAATTGAGCCAGAGCGAGAGCGCCATCTGTCGTGGAGTTTGGGATGAGCAGTGAACGGCCGCATTGAATTAGTAGGAGGGTATATAGCGCCACCTCGCGGACATTTCTTAAAATAATAAATAATTTTAATTGTAATTTTAAACTTTTTTATTTTGTGTATTATTTATTTTTTTTGACCTTGCCTTTGGTCGTCGCGACATGCTGATTAAGAATATATATGGTGTTGGGGGTGAGCTCTTACGGGGGGGGGGGGAGAAGATAGACAGAAGGACAGACACACAAAAACAGGTTCGCCATTTATGTAAGAGATACCTGGCTACAGTACACGTCAGTTGAGCGATGTCGCTATGCGGAACTTGTTAGATTTTGCGGACACAATAATATGCGGAGTGGGTACGATGTCTTCATAATCAGGTTTACTATAATATAACTGAATAAAATCTTAGTGTTTTTAAGGTTGGTGTAATCAGTGATATATCTGCTGTGAGGTGAAACTATATTTCGCTATATTTTTTCGGATTGAGCATTTCTGAGCAAAAATCTCATAAATATTCCTTTAAAGTTGGATGACTATAATATCTTGAGACAGCTAAATGCTAGTCATATTAGCAACAGCTACCCACTCACAGATAACACCTGCTACAATGCCCAGCATCACATCAAATTGCAACATACAGATTACCGTACAGGGTTCTACATACACAGACAGATTTACTCTAGACACACAGCGAGGAAAGGAGAGTGAAAAAGAGCGGCAGTTTTCTCATGTATACTATTGTATAAATGTTAATACTATTGTATATAACTATTACAATTTTAAAGTAATAACCAATTTAACTTTATATGCATGGTATGCACCTATAACTCTCTGTAATATATGTATTACCCAAACTCATGGTGATCACATGAGTTGCTGCCCATTCCAGCCCATTACATGTCAGGCAAACTCACACAACATGACCTTGGCATTACAATTTACACCGATCACAGTTTAATGTGGTGGGAAGAGGCTCTTGCATGTCTAATAGCATTTTCTGCGGAAACCCACTTGAAATGTCAATTCAAAGTATGGAAAACTTGCACCGAAATCAGGCATGCCTACCTGTTAGCACAATATCTGGTATACTGCTTGTTGAATGCCTGGGCGAGTAGTGCGACTGGGCGAACGTGTAGCCTGGTGACTGGCTGCCATTGCTCATGCCGCATTGCTGAATAAAGCGGCTGAAATCCTGGCCTACTGTCGTCTGGGCATAAACAGTGGTGGTGGGTATCGTAATGATGCCGGCTGTACCATTCACCGAGGTCGTGCATGTCATGTCTTGGTCATGGAACTATGTTAGAAGGAAAATATGCATGAATACAAATATAAACTAGTAGAAGGCACTCGGGGAATGCGAATCCTCCGCATACGCGATCACTACACCTGTGATATTTTGTAGGCCGAGGTTGCTACTTGTAATGAATGACGTTGACCTTGGTTTGGTTTTTGTACTGAACCGATCGACTATCTGCCTGTGCTTTTTGTTTTTGGATGTTTACGTGCATGTATGTATGATATTCATTGTGGGATGTCATTTATTTATGGATGTCTTTTTGCTCCATGGATTTGTTAATTCTAATAGAACAGAAATGCACACTCAGACATACATGTAACTTGCAAAGCAGATATATTGATTCATGTTTAATGCACATTTAACGACATGTATATGAACAAGGAGGAATGTTAGACCTCTAAATACACTGTACAAGCAATTAAAACAATGGAAATGGGGAAATTGTGTACGTGTATATTTGTACGAAATCTGCAAATATGTGCAATGTGCATGCTAAATGCATAACTACGAACTGGCTTCTTCTACAGCACAGTAAACACACTCTGCCACACACAGCACACCTGGAAATACCGCCTGGAACCCCGGCCCCGCATTAGCAATGGTACGGTCCTTCCGCTATGACCCAGCATTGGAAATATACTTAATGACTATATACTTAATTATTATATGATAATAAGGTCAAGGTCACTCATAATCAATAGGGTTCCAGCGCTCCATAAGATGCACATGTGGACCAAGTTTGAAGTGTCTACCTCTTACGGTTTCAAAGATATCGAGAGGACAGAACCACACACAAACACACACAAACACACACACACGCACGCACACACGCACGCACGCACGCACGCACACACACGCAAACACAAACACACCGCCACGTACATACAAACGAGCATGAAAACAATATCCTCCGCTGCACTACGTGAGGAGGATAATAAAAACTAGAACAAACACTACTAGAGCTCCTAAGCCATAGAAAAGATAGTTGTGTATTTACAAATACAATGAGCACTGAACTCCAGTCATGTGACTTTAATACAGGTGTAGACGGCCAATTTGTTGTTGACTATGTACAGTGGTCCTCCAGAGAACATTAATCAATTTAATAGCGCCTGTCACAGGTTAAAGGTGGGACGTTACTGATAACACTTAGAGAAGCTAGCAAGCTGTGCCACCTACTGGTTAGATTTTTAGAGTTGGATTTTTTGCAGGAAAAACATGGGAGACAGCTGTCTGCTGTAACGATGCAGGGGCAGCCATGTTGAAAGAGAGACTGAATAAGCTCACAGTTAATGTTTCCATCAGTTTCCTGACATCCTGCCTGAGTTGTGTGCTCCAGGAAGCACCACCACCTACTATACTATAACTGTAGGCCTACTAGTGAAAAAATCATGGGGCGATGGGGTGACTTGCACCCATAAATTCCAAAATTGCCACCACAGTACAACAAAAAAACATAAACCAAGGGGAAAAAGAAAAAGAATCTGCCCCACTTAAGATTTGCATTTCCACATCAAAGAACACTTGAAAAAACTATGTGTGACATGAAGGATGTGTGACATAAAGGATGTGTGACATGAAGGATGTGTGACATGCGCAAATAGCTTATTTCTTTCAAGCAAGTACAAGTCAGGCACACAGTATTTCTGCACACTCAAAGACTAAATAGAAATCACACCCTAAACTTAGCACGAGTGCAAACGCACACGCTAAATGCTATGTGCCACAGTCACACAGCCAAGAAAGGGCTTACGAACACAATTGTGTTTACTAGAGCACAGCAGTAGTAGTAATTTCTCTAACAAAATATCCCGGACAATAAGAATATAAAGAAGGTTACAATGAAGCAAGTTATTATGATTCTGAATGGACTGTAGTTAGTGCTTCTATACATTGCATCATATATTTCGCTTAATAATGTATATTAATAATGTGTGTGGACGGTAATTTAGCTGGCTGTTACACAAGTACATTCGTGTAGCATGTGCATACTGAGTCGCATATTGTGTGAATATTTGCGCGTAATGCACAAAATTTTGAAAACTGATTTAATAAAATAGTTATATTAAGCCAAATACATGCCTATAAAATACTTCAAGGGGGCAATTATTATTGAAAGAATTTTTTAAAAGTGCCTTAGTGGTAAATGGATGAAGTTTTATATTGAACTGAACCTTCGGGTATAAGAAATGTTAAATAGATATTCTCTCAGGAACGATGTTCCCGTCTACTAACAGAGTCTCATGGCCAAGATTTACACAATAAAGATGCACTGCAGCAATACTCACCATACTAAACTGCTCTAGCTGATGCTGAAGTGCATTAGTCTGCAGCTGTTGCTGCGGGTTAAGAAAGTAAGCGTCACCATAGGGCGTTCCATGTGGGGAACCCACTGGCGAAGCTCCAAAGCTTGGCGACGGTGGGGATAGCGGCGACTGTGGTCCCGGGCTGGTGCAGTTTTCTGAACTGTGTGAGGTCCTGTATGCCATAGACGTCTGAAAACAACATCAGGATTAGTCTGTGTGCATACCGTACCTATAGAAATACAGATATGTATTCTTCTAATACGTTCCTGGTAGTAGTAGTTCAATCAAACTCACAGTAAGCAATAAGTGCCACAAAGTGACAGTGCTATCTGACTGTCTGTGACAGTGCTATCTAACTGTCTGTGACAGTGCTGGAACAAGAAGAGGGGAGTTGGAAAGTCACAGTTGGATTCGTTTAGCAATTCAGAAATACAACAAAAATGTGCCTTCCCAGAATTTCAAATACAGATGCTCTTTGCACATGAGTGGGCGGGAACTACATTTCATGGTGCCTTTAATAAAGTCATAACAAAGATAGGTCACCAATGAAACAAAAAACGTTTGCCACTCGGCCCTTCAGACCATTTCTTCCAAAAATGTCAGAAATCCGTCCTTGGCCCAACTGCCCTTTGACATGTTCTCTTTAGTTTTGCCAAGGTGACAGCTTCTCTCACCTTGACTCTGTATACCGAAATCAAGTGCATAGGTCACGCCAATTCTATTGTTGCCACAATTCTGCATTTCCTCAATGATGATCGTATACATTCAGTTAAGAGGAGAATATTCCCTCTTCCTTCACACCATGTGACCTTTAACATTTGAACCATATTCAACTTCCAAGTTTTCATTTCCGATTGCCCATATACGTCCCGAATTCCAATAGCATATGTCAAGCGGATAAGATTTATGCCCACATCGTTGACAGACCGACTCACGTACACACAAACTGCAACCGACTGTGTCAGACAATCTAAAAATAAGCCTCTTGTTTATATAATAGCACAGTTTCAATAGAGCATAAGATACGTTAAGTTTAGCTGGTCTTTGTGCTTCGTACGTAACAGTGAAATGTGTGTAAGCACCAAATTATATAACTGTAAATATTAGAGCACAGAGAAGCTGTTGTATACTACCGGTAGTTGAGGGCTAGGAGGAGTCAGTGGACTCTGCGGTACACTGTGCGGGTAGCTGGGACTCTGTGGGCTCTGTGGCAGGCCAGGGCTCTGTGGAACACTCTGGGGACTGCTGTGCGGCGTCTGGAACTGTGGTGACTGCTGCCCTATAGGTGACGTTGGTTGGGAGCCAGCTCCCGACTGGTAGCCATACTGTGGTAACCTTTGTTCACCGCCGATCATGCTGGTCATGTCTGATCCCTGTCCCATATACAAAATGATAGTGGCAAGTAATTACTAATTCGAGTCAGCTAAATACAGAATACTTGATAGAACTTTGGAATTTCATCCTAACATCATGACCGTCATGCATTAATAGCAACAGCGATTACAACAATAACGAATGAATTGCATAGACACATAATTACCGTGATTACGCATACAATGGCCAATCAGATACTCAACAGAAACAGCAATAGGGGGAGACAGCTCCCCCCAAAAAATTTTAAGAGGAACAAGTGAATATCCCTAGCCGTAAAACAGTAGGGTGTAGCCACACCTGTGCACTGATGCCATGTGGGCTTCCAGGTGTGACTGGGCTCTGGTGCTGCTGGTGCCGCTGCGGGGTGCTGAGTACCAGTGGACTAATGTTACTGGAACCTGGCTGGCGGCGTCGCGCCGTCGGGCTCTGCTGTCGTTGGTGCTGCGGCGACACTGTGGCAGTCCTTGGTGAGAGACTCGTGACATTGGGTATTTGCTGTGTGTACTCCTCGGGGTCGAGGGGGTTCGTAAGGGGTGACGGAAAGTGGAGGTTGCTGAGATCTGGTAGGGAGCCTGTATTGCTGTTGATCGGTATGCTAGCTTGAGTCACATTCTCCGATGGATGTATGCTAGTAAATTGAGAAGTAATGTGTAAAAGGACTATACGAGATTACACCAGACACTGCATGAAACTAGCCAATGTTCTTTTCAGTACTTTGCAATATTACACCGAAGCATAATTTATGTGCGTGTGCATGGGAACCTGTGTGTATATGTACGTGTGTGTGTGTTGTGCGCGCTCCTGTGTATGTGAAGACATGCAAAAACGAAGTAGAACTTACTGAATGCCAGGCACTTCTGATTTCTGCCGAGACTGCTGTTGCTGGGAGATCAACATGTGGTTGTGCTAAAATAAGAAACTTTGCATAATGCATTACAGTAGTGGGCATCTTTTGTGAAGTTCAACGAAAGTAGTGCAGGAAAATAGTAATGATGTAACCTTGTTAGAATATTAAGATTATAAAATGATCATAAAATATTTAGATATCCATAAACCTATGACCATAATAAATTGATTCTCGCCATAATAAAATATGCCATGGTGTCATGATGTATTCAAATCCAATTTTCTATGCTATAACTGCATAAATTCTTAGTGTTTTTTTAAGTTCGTGTAATCAGTAATATATCCGCTGTGAGGTGAGACTATATTTCGCTATTTTTTTCAGATTGAGCATTTCTGCGCAAGAATTTCGAAACAAAAGCTTTAACGTAATTATTACGATAGTTTTCCAGCGTTTTCCCCACTTTCATGATACCTACCGTTATTGCTTGAGTAACAGCAATTGTCTAGAGTAACGATAAAATGTCTTAGAACCTTTGTATTCACCAAAACATGCAATTTTCGAACTAGTTTGGTAACCAACCGTTTGCTGTAATCTTGAAACTAGAGCCGGTAGTATTGGACTAACTAGTAGCGGCGTCACCTATGTGCCATAGACATACAGTCTCTCTCAAATGCAGTTGTTTTCTATTAATCACCGACAATTTACAAGTTTACCAATTCTGCCATTATCGCGACACGATAAAATGCATTGATGTTACGCCGTGTTCATATCCAATTTTCTATGTTATAACTGCTTTAAATCTTAGTATTTTTAATGTTGGTGTAATCAGTGATTATATATCCGCTGTGAAGTGAGACTATATTTTGCAAAATTTTTTTGGTTTGAGGGTTTCTGAGCAAAACTCTCTTAATAATAACTTTAACACAGCAATACTAAGGGCACGTTTGTTTGGTACTAATCCATCTGATCGAGATCATGTGATCCTGATCCGACCAAACACACGCAAACTCGATTTCACCAGTTCACGTTTCGCTGTGACCACTGTGACCTATCACACGATGGTTCATAACAAAGAACAAGCTGTGATTGGCTGAGGCGCGGGCCGCCATATTGGTTCCCGTTCGAATCCACCGCGCTAGCATGGTCGGGTTTAGTGGATCGAGATCAAGTGATCCGACCAAACAAACAGTCAGACCAACGAATCCATCGGATCGAGATCCATGGATCCGACCAAACAAACGCGCCCTAATTAAGAGACTCAACCACCAATATCAAGAGTAGATAATAACACAAGAGTGAGACAACCGATTCCCGCATTTTTAACCGATTTTTCTCATCAAAATTTGCCACCAATAAAGAAGCAAGTGTATACGTTCCTCAGCTTATTATGACCACTAATCACTCACCTTCATGGTACTGATATTCGTTTACATATATTTGCTAGCTTGCTAGCGTATTGCTGTAAATCGTAATCTTGCAACATCGAGCTGAAAATTTTATTCTATAAATTTAACCGTGCTAACGATGTGCGATCTTTGCACTTGACGAGCTGTTTAGTACATTATCTAGAAGCTACTCGATGCGCCAATATATTAGCACGTACCGGTTTTTCCTC